AACTCCGTATTATCTCACCCAGCGGCTTCATATAGATGTTATGAATGTGTGATTAGTTGTCCTGAAGATGCATCGTTAAGTATTATCGTCTTACTGTCCATCTCTAATATGTTATTTTCTCCTGCCCCAGTTTTCCTTCAGTCCTTCCCCCTGGTTCCATCAAGTAACATTGATTAAAATGTAAATGCCCCAACTGGAAAGAAAAATGTTTCTGCTAATTGCATTCATTGGCAGGGATCTGAGGGTGTTTGCTTAAGCAAACAAGCTCAGCAAATGATTGAAGGGTAGAGTGATGAAGCCATTTAGAAATTTCTGCCACTCCATCATGCCAGTGAGAACAGAATATGTTCTTCCTCACACAGTGTTGAATCTGTGGTTGCCTGTGGGCCCATTTTGAGTAGATTTGCAAGTTTGCTTCTCTGCCCTCACCTCCTCTACCACCACACTTGCAGTTTGTTGCATTGCAGTGAAAAGATTAGAATGACTGAGATACTTTCAAATTGGGACTGTTGGAAAGAGACACTTACTTGCCTCTTTGTTGAAGAGATTTGGACTCTGTGGTTTTATATTTGTTGTTGTGGTATACTAAGCATATCGGCAGTCTAAGTAGTCAATAGAGAGGACTAAAGGTGGCTGCTATTGTACATCTTTGGAATTCTTTGGAACAACTGGCTTGGCAAGTGAGAAAGAGCTGTGTTCCCCTTCAGTATATTGCATGCTTGGCATGCCCTTTACCAGTTTTCATTCCTTAGCACCTATGACTCATGCACCTATGGGAAAGAGATTTGCCAGTCTTTGAAGACCAGAGAGCACAATATGTGGCCTTTCAGATATTGCTGGAGTGTAACTCCCATCATTCCTCACTATTGGATTTGTGGGCTCAGGTTGATGGCAGTTGTAGCCTAGCAACATTTGAGGAGCTTCATGTTTTCCACCCCAATGTAGATAGTACCACAGAATATTAATCAGTCCACTCAGTATAAAGGAGCACTCTCCTTGAGACAGAAAATACGGATGTTCATGTCAATAATTGGAGAGTATTCAGAGTGCATTTCTGAGAGTTTTGCCTAAATGATAAGAAAAGAACCCTGTTGGATCAGACCAGATCAGCTCTGGAAATAAAGACCTTCCTGAGATCTGCAGGTAACCTATCAGTTAGTGAAGACTAGAAAGGTCTAGATGTTGTTGGACTGCTTGTCTAGTCTGTTATCCTGTTTCCCATAATGACCAATCAGATGTCCATAGGAAACTCACAAGTAGAATATGTGGACAAGCATTACTGGTACTCTGAATCTTTTGATCCTGTCAGAAGCATATATCCATCATGGACTAGTAGCCATTGATAGCCCCATCCACCATGAATTTGTCTATGTGTGTACATTGTGTGCCTTCAGGTCATTTCTGACTTACAGTGACCCTAAGAGGCCTAAGATCCTAAGACCTTAAGATCTTCTTGCAATATTTTTTTCAGAGAAGGTTTGCTGCTTGCTTCCCTTGAGGCTGAGAGTATGTGACTTGCCCAGAGTCACCCAGTGGGTTTCATGGCCGAGCTGGGAATCGAACCCTGGTCTCCTGAGTCGTAGTCCAACACTCAAACCGCTACATCACACTGGCTCTCACATGAATTTGTCTAATCCCCCTTTAAAACCTTCCAAGTTGATGGACATCACTACATCTTTTGGTAGTAGATTACTCAGTTTCAGGATGCTGTGCATGAAGCAGCACCTCCTTTTGTCTATCCTGGAACTCAGCTCTTCAATTCCTTGAATGGGCCTGGGTTCCAGTGCTATGCAAGGAGAAAATACTTTCTGTTGCTATTGGAAACATTTTAGAGACCAAACATTTTAGGAACTGGTAATTTTTCACTATGAGTTGATAAATACTTGAGTGAAGGAATCTCACCATTTTCTAAGATTCCTTTTACTCCAGTGCCCCTCATTTTGCTCACTTTCTAACAAAGATAAGGCAAACACTTCTTTGATAAGTCCATTCATTCCTGGTTATAGACTCTTTCTAGCAACTTGTCCAACAGCATTCCTGGCAGGCTTCTCTGATGTGTCTTTCACAAAGCAAGCAAACAGCCCTGTGGCTTGTGAATTTGGAAGAGATCCAGGTTTGTTATTTATCTGCCCTGACCTCAAAACCAATCTCCTTTTCAAGGCACTCTGAACCCATTGTCTTTCTTAATGGCTTTATGGAGACAAAGATCTACAAACAAACAGTGCAGAAAAGCACCCAGGCCTGCTGAAAGTGACACAAGATGAATGATAGCCTTACCCTGGACAAGGCCAAACATGGGGTGGGGGGTGGGGGTGGAGTGGGGGAATGAAACTTTATTTTTGCTAAGCCTTTGGACTTGTGAGCTTAACATTAGCTTCTGCTCTTGAAATGTGAGGGATGGGAAAACCTTTGCTTGCAAATCTATGATTTGTGGCTACTAATAACAGGTTATGGCTCAAAATAATGCAATCAAAAGAGTATGATGTGGCCAAGGTGACTGGTCAAAATGTGGACATCAAAGGGAAACCAATAAAATGGTTTTCCATGAAGCTAATAGAATAAGTGGATCAGTTATGGGGTCTGAAGCTAGTGATAACTCAGCAGTGACAGATTATTCAGAAAGGATGGGAAGTGGTAGTCCTTCTTGCAAACCCTTGTGTGAACCTTTTATTTTTATTTTCAATGTTTAAGACTTTCTCACTCTTTTATGTTGGTGTAGGATGAAAGGATGATGATGTGACTCCTAGGCTTGCTTAGTCCAAAATCAAGGTTTGGTAGTACATATAAACAGGTTCAGTATCTGTCTTTCCCACAAAACTCTTCTGCTAAGCTAAAGGGTGCAAGACAAACCTTGGTTACAGTCAGCTTGGCTGTGTTTCAGTAGCAGTAGCTTTTGTTTGTCCATATTGCCTCACAGCTTCTGAGACATTTTCTTTGTTCACTTCATTTATCCAATGAAGCAGGATCAAACTATTTATATGCAAGGAATTGTTCCAGCAGCCATTTTTGAGTGTGTGTGTGTGTGTGTGTGTGTGTGTTGCTTTACCCAGATGTCATTTTGGGACTGTTCATCATTGTACATATTTTGCATTCTGGGATGTGTATGTTGATGGACAACTGTAGACATATCTGAAAATATACTATACATTTGAATGGTTCACACAGGAAACCATCCACATTTCCTATAGGGACAGAATGTTGCTTAGCTCTTGTTTAGTTGTGGATGTGACATTTGACATGGATGTATTCAAGTTATCCATATCATCTGCACATAAAAAACGTATGCATATGAAACAAAGATAGATTTGAAAAAAGGATGGTGGATTTCATTCCATTAAAACTAAAAACAAAGAAAAATATTGACAGGGCTAGGTATGGAAGGTGGAAAAAGAGTGGAAGTTGGCAGAGGCAGATTATATAGATGTGTGCATAGCTACCTTAAAGTGGAAACAGAAGTTCATGGACAAAATTGGAAGCTGCCATCTGAACGGACAGTTTTGGATTTTTGAAGAAGCCATAAACAAATCCCCATGGATCAGACTTCTTCACAAATATTTGGAAAGACACACTTTTTTTATCTCCTCCTCCATACTCTGAAATGCAAATGTCCAAATTGTTTTCTGGCTTGCTGCTTGTATTGGGAGAAATTCCAGAATTGAATAGCCTCTTTCAGTGGAAAAGCTAGCATAATTCAAAGTAGCTCTGCACCATTATGTGCCTAAGAGTGCCCTATGATAGAAAACAGCCACTCTGATCTGTCCTTTCATAGTTGATGCCACTTGGGGATTAACATGTTTTACAGTAAAGATCATATTGGAAATTATTTTGTTTGCCTTGTTTCAATGCATACTAATTTGCCTGAAATTCATACCAGTTTGTTATTGCTGCAATAGGCATTTTGGCCATAGCTAAGAGTATTATTTTTTTAATCTTCACTTTTTTAATGTTTTTAACTGTATTGCTTTTAAATTGTACATTGCCTTGAGTCTTAATTTTTAGAGGAAGGTGGGGTATTCATCATCACCATCATAATATGTTGTTGTTGTGCAGTCTAATGGGCACATTCTTAGGTAGTTTAGGAGATAGTATTTGAGTCTTTAATTCACATATCTAAGGGTTCAGCAATTGTACTAAATGCTAATCTCTTTTATTTGTCTGAGTGTAGGCAGAATTTTGGAAGAGAAGCATCTCTGCTTAAATGCACAGGCTGATTAAATTCTCCATTGGCAAAAGTTTTCATGCTGGTTGTTGCTGTTGTGTGCCTTCAAGTTGTATCCCACTTATGGCAAATCTAAGGTGAACCTATAATGAGGTTTTCTTGGCTAGATTCATACAGAATGGAGTTGCCTCAGCCTCCTCTGATGTTGATAGAATGTGACTTGCCCAAGGTCACCCAGTGGATTTCTATGGGGATTTGAACTCTGATCTCCAGAGTCACAGTCCAAAGCTCAAAGGACTACACCATACTGGCTTTTTTCCATTCTGGAGTTCTGTAATAAAAATGACCTGATGAGGGGAAAAAAGCCAGTTCAGCATGTTAACCTTGTGCCCTGTTTTCAGCTAGCAACACCAACATTATTTGCACCAGGGCTGTGGAGTTGGTATGCCAAACCTTCTACTCTGACTACAACTCCTCTGTTTTTCAAGTCTTCTGCTCTGACTTCTTCATAAATAGCAAATGTATATTAATTAGTAATAACAAATTTATTGTAGCAAAATAGTGGCACAAGGCATTTCCCTACCCCATGTCAATTGTCAACCTCCTTAAAACATTTGTTGTTATTAACTGCCCTCGAGTGGATCTTGACTCATGGCAGACCTATGGATGAGACATTTCCAAGACCCTCTGTCCTCTACTGCTCTGCTTAATTCCTGCAACTCCTTAATACCTGAGATCTTCTTAATAGAGTCCATCCATCTAGCATGTGGCCTTCCTCTCTTCCTACTTCCCTCCACCTTCCCTAGCATTATTATTTTTTCCAAAAGATCCTCCATTCTCATGATGTGTCCAAAGTACAACAGCCTCAGTTTGGTCATCTTGGCTTCCAGGGAGGTTTCTGGCTTGATCTGCTCTAGGACCCACTTGTTTGTCCTTTTGGTTGTCCATGGGATCTTCAGCACTCTTCTCCAGCTCCACATCTCAAAGGAGTTAATTTTTTTCCTATTATCTTTCTTAACTGTCCAGCTCTCATATCCATATATGGTAATAGGGAATACAATGGCTTGTATGATTCTAATTTATGTGCTAAGTTGTATATTTTTGCATTTTTGAATCTTTTCTAGTTCTTTCATAGCTACGATCCCCATTCTTAGTCTTCTTCTGATTTCCTGACTGCAGTCCCCATTTCTATCAGTGTTTGATCCCAGGTATGGGAATTCTTTGACTATTTCTATTTCTTCATTGTCTAGGTTGAACTTGTGAAGGTCCTCAGTGGTCATTATAAAACATAAAATATGCTTATTTTATTTTATTATGTATAAAATGATATAAGAGACAGTGAGCATAGTGGTTTGAGTTTGGACTACGACTCTGGAGATCAGGGTATAAATCCCTGCCTGGCCATGGAAACCCACTGGGTAATCTTGGGAAAGTAACACTTTCAGCTCAGAGGAATGCAAAGGCTCTAAACAAAACTTGTCAAGAAATCCCTGTGATAGTTCACCTTAGGATTTCCATAAATTAGAAATGACTTGGAGGCTCACAACAACTACCAACACTATTTTTTATTAAAAAAAAAAATCACAGTCCCTTTAAAAAGTCCACAAAGGTAATTATGTTGATATATGAAAAACAAAAAGCTTAGTTGCCAGCGTGGTGTAGTGGTTTGAGCATTGGATTACATCTCTGCCCTGGAGCGCAGTGATTAAATGCCTGTACTGCAGCCACTCACTCATAAACCACAAGGTTGCGAGTTCAATACTAGCCAGGGCTCAGGCTTGACCTGCATCTTTCCAAGGCCGCTAAAATGAGTACCCAGCTGTTGGGGAGCAATGAGCTTACAGTTGTCCACCACTTAGACACTGCATAGCATGGTATGAAGCGGTATATAAATGAAGCTGGAGACCAGGGTTTGAATCTCTGCTTGGCCATGGAAAACCATTGGGTGACCTTGGACAAAGCACATTCTCTCAGCCTCAGAGGAAAGCAAAGGGAAACCCCTTCTAACCAAATCTTTCCAAGAAAACCTCATGATAGAATCACTTTAAGTTGAAATGTCTTGAAGGCACACAACAAATAGTTGGGTAATGACTTTACTGGAGCCAAACAAAATGAAAAATTTTGTGCAAATTTTCACATTCTCAAACATCACCATTGAAAGCTGACAAGAGGGCAGACTTGCAAATTTGCATATTGTAAAATCAAGGGAAGTATTAGTACCACTCTATTCTGCTTTGGTCAGGCCTCATCTGGAATACTGTGTGTAATTCTGGGCACCACAAATCAAAAAGGATATTGACAAGCTGGAGCATGTTCAAAAGAGAGCAACCAAAATGTTGAAGGCTTTGAAAAGCATTCCCTATGATTTCCATACTATGAATAGAGGGAGCTGGATATGTTTAGCCTGGAGAAGAGAAGGTTAAGGGTATGATAGTCTTGTTAAATATTTGAAGGG